TGACAACTGCTCTCCAAGACTTAGACTGGGAGGGAATATTGGCATTGATGAATACAATACAGAATTGGGAGTTCTTTAAAAAGACTGTATGTGAACACACTGCAAAATATATTCCCATGGGCAACAAGTTTAAAAGGCTAAAAATCAAACCTATGTGGCTTACGGCCAAAGTTAAAAAAGTCTATAAATAATAAGAAAAGAGCTTTTATTACATATAGAAAAATGAAGGGAACACTATCATCGTTTAAACATTACAAAGAAGATAACAGAATATGCAAAAAGGAAATAAAGACCGCAAAAATTGAAAAGGAAAGACAGATTGCAAAAGATAGCAGGACCAACTCCAAAAAATTCTTCAAATATATTAATAGTAAAAAGCTCAGGTCCGAGCATGTAGGCCCTTTACAAAATATTCTAGAGTGGGTGACTGGGGACAAAGAGAAGGCAAATTTATTAAATACCTTCTTCAGCTCTGTGTATACAAAGGAGCATGGGGGAGCTCTTGTCCATAATGGGCATGGTATTGACACAGCCCCAGATGATCCACATTGGCTAACAATTGATATGATCCAGAAATAGTTAGACAGAATAAAGGTGAATAAAGCACCTGGACCAGATGGCATACACCCACAGGTCCTTAAAGAATTGAGCTCTGTCTTTCAAAGCCATTGTTTCTTTAATGACTGGCATAGTACCACTGGATTGGCGTAAGGCCAATGTGGTGCTTATATTTAAAAAGGGGTCAAAATCTTTACCAAGTGATTATAGACCTGTTAGTTTAACTTCTATAGTTGGGAAGATACTGTAGAGTTTAATAAAAGACCACATACATGAGCCCTTGCTGGAACAAAATATTTCAAGCAACAGATAGCATGGGTTCATGAAAGACAGAAGTTGTCAAACAATTCTGATTTCTTTTAATGAGGTGAGCAAAACCTTGGACAGAGGAGTGGCGATGAACGTGGTATACTTGGATTTTGCAAAAGTGTCGGCTAATGTGTAAGGTAAAGTGTACAGGCTTGGAAAAATCTGTATGTAATTGGATAAAAAACTGGCTAATAGATCGTATTCAAAGAGTAGTGGTTAATGATTCATACTCTGAATGGTCTAGGATTGTCAGTGGTGAACCCCAAGGTTCAGTCTTTGCAGATGACACCAAGCTGTGCGGTGGAATAACGTCCTTACAGGATGTCTCCAACTTACAAGCCGACCTCAATGCACTGTTTAATTGGGCAACTATGTGGCAAATGAGGTTTAATGTTGATAAATATAAGGTTATGCACACTTGGGGGCTAAGAATATGCATGCATCATACATACTAGGGGGGGTACAACTAGGGGAATCAATGGTGGAGAAGGATCTGGGGGTTCTGGTAGATCACAAGCTTAATACTGGCATGCAATGCCAAGCTGTAGTTTCTAAAGCAAGCAAAATCCTGCCTTGTATTAAAAGAGGTATAGACTCCAGAGAGAGAGATATCATATTACCCCTGTACAAATCATTAGTAAGACCTCATCTGGAATATGCAGTTCAGTTTTGGGTACCAATTCACAAAAAGAACATTGGGGAACTGGAGCAAGTACAGAGAAGGGCAACCAAACTGATACGAGGCATGGAGGAGCTCAGCTATGAGGGGAGATTGGAGGAACTGGATTTATTTTCTTGAGAAGAGGAGATTAAGGGGGGATATGATCAACATGTATAAATACATCAGTGGTTCATATAGTGAACTCTGTGTAGAGCTATTCACCCTGAGGTCATCACAGAGGACAAGGGGGCACTCTTTACATCTGGAGGAAAAGAAATTTAATCTCCAAATACAGAAAGGTTTCTTCACTGTAAGAGCTGTGAGAATGTGGAATAGACTCCATCAAGAGTTGGTTCTGGCCAGCTCAGTGGATTGCTTTAAAAAGGTCTGGACTAACATTTATAGGTAAAGTTGATCCAGGGAATATCCGATTGCCTCTCGGGGGATCAGGAAGGAATTTTTTCCCCTGCAGGAGCAAATTGGTTCATGCTTTGCTGGGGTTTTTTTTTTATGGATGAACCGAATGGACTTTTGTTTTTTTTTTCAGCCAGACTAACTATGTAACTATATAACATCCCTGGCCACCATACAACAGAAACAGAAAAAGGCTCCATTTACACTAGGGCATTTAAAATCATGGGCGGAATTACCATGATTCTGCTGGCGATTTGAAAACACACTGAGAAAATGTGAAAACACGTATTTCAATGGTACCTGAAAATGCGAGCTGTTTTTGCCACGATCGTGGCACATTTTTCCTCGCCACAAATGCATTTTATTGCGATTTTACCCAGCATGTTGTTGTGATTTTACCAAGGATTTTGCCGCAATTTTACCTGCAAATTTGCAACGGTTATACCCATGATTTTTCCATGATTCTACCCACAATTTTTGCAGGAATTTTACCCGGAATTGTGCTTTGCCTTTACCCACGATATTATTCGGAATTTTGCTGCCCTTTTTACCACAATTTTACCCGGGATTTTGGTGCAATTTTACCCTGATTTTGCCGTGATTTTGCTATGATGTTACTCCCAATTTTCTGAGATTTTACCCAGAATTTTACCTCATCTAGGGCACATTTTTCATAGGTCATGTGACTAAAAAAACGCATTAAAACTGCAGCACGTGTGTGTTTTCAATGTATTTCAGGCATGGTTCATACCAATGCAGTTTGCGTTTTGTCCATTTTGCAGTGCATTTTTGCACACAAGTTTTTGATGCACTTTTTCTTGGCCAATGTTGCTGGGCAGATTAAAAAAATGCAAAACGCATCAAAAATGTAATGTGTGTTTTTGAAGCGTTTTCGCTTCAATACATTCCAGATCTTGTTCACACCAATGCAGTTTGTGTTTTGTCCATTTTGACATGCTTTTTGCATTGTGTTTTGCATTTTTGCATGCTTGTTTTTTATGCATGTTGCGTTTTTGCTACAGTTTCACTGCATTTCAGGCTTGGTTCAGAAAAAAGCAAAAACCAATGCAGTTTGCCTTTTGTCAGTTTTGCAGTTTTTTTTTGCAACTTGTTGCTGGGCATATTAAAAAGGCAGATTCACACTAGGGTGTATCAAATCATGGGTTATTCTGCATGCGATTTGAAAATGTACTGTAAAAATGTGAAAATGCATAATTGCGTGTTCAGGTGCCATTAATTTTAATGGCACCTGACATTTTCAGCACGACAAACTCACTGCAATCGTGCAAACAAAATTGCAGGATTTGTGACACCCAAAAAAGGTTCTGACCATTTTTGGGTGTCTCGCATCCCATGATTTTGTTTGCGTGGTCGCGACGCGTTTGCCACATGGAAAATGGACATACAAAAATGCTAATTGCACTGCAAAAAAGAACAAGCTGCAACAAGCTGGCCAAAAATGCCCAAACACTCTGACAACTCAAAACGCATCAAAATGTGCATGCAATATCACAAAACACACTGCAAAAAGCACGGCAAAATGGACAAAACACAAATTGTATTGGTGTGAACCAGGTCTGAAATGCATTAAAGAGGCAGCAAAAATGCTTCAAACACACATATGTGTTAAGTTTTGGATGCTTTTTGCCTAGCAACCTGCCTAGCAACCAGTTGGCCCATAAAAAATTTCAAAAAACGCATACAAAATGTGTTAAAAAACGCTTGTGCAAAAATGCAAAATGCACTGCAAAACGGACAAAACGCAAACTGCATTGGTGTGAACAATGCCTGAAATGTAAAAGTGTGGAAAAATTGCAGCAAATTCTGGGTAAAATTGTGGGTAAAATCTTGGGTAAAAATGCAGCAAAATTACTGCAACATCGTGGGTACAATCACAGGTAACATTGTGGCAAAATCTCTGGTAAAATCGCATTTTCGATGGTCATTATCAGCACTTTTTTTCCTATCAGCAAAATGGCGATAACACTCTTTTTGGCTGCTGATGTATGGATGCATCCCCAGTATGTGTAGTGTATAGACTGTCACTACTGGAGGAGGTGCGGAGACTGCTGATGTATGGGTGCATCCCTAGTATGTGTAGTGTAAAGACTGTCACTACTGGAGGAGGTGCAGAGACTGCTGATGTATGGGTGCATCCCTAGTATGTGTAGTGTAAAGACTGTCACTACTGGAGGAGGTGCAGAGACTGCTGATGTATGGGTGCATCCCCAGTATGTGTAGTGTAAAGACTGTCACTACTGGAGGAGGTGCAGAGACTGCTGATGTATGGGTGCATCCCCAGTATGTGTAGTGTATAGACTCTCACTACTGGAGGAGGAGCAGAGACTGCTGATGTATGGGTGCATCCCCAGTATGTGTAGTGTATAGACTGTCACTACTGGAGGAGGTGCAAAGACTGCTGATGTATGGGTGCATCCTTAGTATACGTAGTGTATAGACTCCTACTACTGGAGGAGGTGCAGAGACTGCTGATATATGGGTGCATCCCCATTATGTATAGTGTATAGACTCTTACTACTGGAGGAGGTGCAGAGACTGCTGATATATGGGTGCATCCCTAGTATGTGTAGTGTACAGACTCTTACTACTGGAGGTGGTGCAGAGACTGCTGATGTATGGGTGCATCCCTAGTATGTAAAGTGTATAGACTCTTACTACTGGAGGCAGTGCAGAGACTGCTGATGTATGGGTGCATCCATAGTATGTGTAGTGTATAGACTGTCACTACTGGAGGAGGTGCAGAGACTGCTGATATATGGGTGCATCCATAGTATGTGTAGTGTATAGACTGTCACTACTGGAGGAGGTGCAGAGACTGCTGATATATGGGTGTATCCCTAGTATGTATAGTATATAGACTGTTACTACTGGAGGAGGTGCAGAGACTCCTAGGTGAAGCTATGGGAGGCAAAACAGACCCAGAGTGTCCTGAGCTTTCATTCTTAGAACCCTGCCTCGGTGGGAGGTACAGACTGGTACCAGGGGCGGACTAAGCATTTGGAAACTCGGGCACTGCCCGAGGGCCCGAGGTCAGTAGGGGGCCCCATGAGATGCCCCTGGTACCTTTTTCATAGGCTTTTTTGAGTTTGGGCAAGGACACAGGGGCCCCATGATCCCCTATTGCCCGGGGGCCCCATGAGTTGTCAGTTCGCCCCTGATTGGTACAGAGTACAGACTACAGTGAGCAGGGAGGAAATACATCACTGCTTCCTTGAGGAAGAACTACAGAAGGGATGTGCCAAGCCCAGTGGCTGGGGGAATAGGTGGAATTGAAGCTACTGGTCTTACAAACAGGAAACCACAGGGAATTAATACTTTTATTTGAAAATCATCAGCACATTTCAGAGCCACTACTGAGTGAACCTGAGGATGGAGGACATATTCAGTTAAGGTGGGAGGTCAGCAGCAAGGACTTGGAAAAAAGTTTTTCCCAGAGTTCTGCTTTAAGTATTATTTTCCCAGCACTGATATGCTGCTGCAGCTGTGATGAATGGCTGCTTTTGCAGGTACAGGACATAGATGTAGAATCCCCTCTGCCTCTCATAATGCAGCCCTTAGTAGCAAAAGTTGGTATTTCTATATGGTGCTTGAGGAGCTATAATGTAGAATCTGAACATTTCTTATTGGAATACATGTTTTTTTCTTTTTTTAAATCTTTTAGAAATGTTATAAAGGAGCTAGACAGACAATAAACACTTTATAAATGGAAATGTTTCACTTTTCTGCTTTGCATAACCAAACTTGATAGAAATGCAAAGTTACTCTTGAAAGTGAACTTGTAAGGAAGTGGCAATTGCTGACAGGTTCTTAAAAGAGCTGCCTCTGAAGCTAACATTCTGAAGACATCCCCTTCCTAGTAAACAACGGACCTGGAGCAAGCATGGAGCCTATTAAGTCTGACAATTCTAAACAGCCATCCTGCACATTTGTCCCAGGTCAGTGACCCGTGTGTCTGGGATGCCAAGTGTGTTACTGACCTCAAATAATTATACATGCTGGACATGATCACCCAACTTCTCATCTACAAGGATATGCAAGAAAACAATAGGACCAATGAGCCAACTATCTGAAACGGCATACAAATGTGCAGTTGTTCTGCTACTTGGACAGCATTTGTATGTAAAGTGTGAAGTGCTGCTGGAAACATCAATAGTGGAATTAATAAGGCTGGAGCAGCATTTACTGAAATGCCTGTTTATTTAGGTGAGAGAGAAGATGAATAATAGCTGATAATTTGGGTGTTTGTGCACTTTTACACGTTGCTGTATACTACAGTGGATGGTAATTGCATTGGAAGGGGGGGGGGGGGGGGTTAAGGTATAGAGCCATTAAATTGGCACCAAGATTTTACAAAGTAGTAATACGTCTTAATCGATCAGGAATATTTCCTTCTGCATAGGCATTCAAGATTTGTTAATCAGGACATGTATGCATTTTTTAAAAAAATGATATAGTGTTGACAGAAAACCAGTGTTTGGTATGCTGTCAAGTGGATAAAATATTAGAAGGTGATGAGAAGCTAAGTTATAAAAACAGAGAAACACAAAACATAAAGAAAATTAAAAAATTTATACCACTGCCCCTCCCCCCTTCTCTTCATCGCTGTACAAAAATACATTAGATAAGCAGATCCAAGTCAAGCAAGAAAACGTGGTATTGGCATGAAACGCACACATGGAGCCAAAGCCCAGATTAGGAGCTAAGATTGTAGACTGGTCTGATGAAGGAGCTTTCTGCGCATGCTCCGAAACCCCCATCTTATGTCACTTTTGGCGTATGCGTTTCACACCGGCCCCGAAAGTGTGACAGCCATCTTAGTTCAGACTAGGGTTGCCACCTCATCCCTTTAAACCCAAACACATATTAATTACTCAGTTTCTGTGGCTGATTAAGGTGGTAATTAAACTCACTTAGTGCCTTATCTGCATTAAATTAGCCTCAGAACCTGTGTCATTAATATGTGTTCGGGTTTAAAGGGGGATGAGGTGGCAACCCTAGTTCCGACATCCTTGCGTTCCATAGGTCCCGCTACCACTGGACGGCTGGACAGCCTCTATCTCACATTACCAGGAACATAGAGGAATACTACTATGATGAGCCTGTCATGCCTGACTTCTTGTAAGTGGAATTTTACTTTGTATGTGAATTAAACTGCCAATACTACATTTAGAGGCGCCTTCTTTGCACGTTTTTCTATACAAGCTTGTAGAACACAGACTGAAATCAGAAAGGAATCACAAAGTCAGAGAGGAAGAATAGAGCCTGTGTAGGCAGTTAGACTTAATGTTTGAATTGGACATGGACATTCAACAATTCCACACTTTGTCGAACTTGGTCAGATGAACACAGTGTTCATGTAGCTTTATAAAGATGCAGAAGGGACAGGGATGTGCAATTCCTATAGCCCAACGCCTGGGACATGCAGTTCTGGGCACTGGGCAAGAGGTTCTTCTTTATATGTAGCCCTGTTGTGGGCAAGCAGCAGGAATTAGAGCCGACAGCTCTCATAAAATAAATCTGAGCAGCTAACTAGCCACTGGATCGCTTTTCCAAGCAGTGGGAGGGGATATTCCCCCCTTCCGCAGGCTGTCCCATAGCACCAGGACACCCAATCAACCATCTGGCACTTCCACAGGCTGATCATAAAGGCGGACAAAGACTGCAACCGCTCTGTCCGCCTCTGTTATAAACAGGAAGCAATGACCATACACCACTTCCGGTTTTACCAGATGTAAATAGCGCCATTTTTAAAAATGGAAAGAATTTGATCACACTGATCTTGTGTGATCAAATGCTTTTAAGGGCAGACGAGGGATCTGGGGTCTCATTGTACACATGTGATGCATCACTGAAAAATGGCAGATCATGGGCAGTAATTCTAGCACCAGATCACCTTTGTAAATCTAAGGTGGTAACCTGAAAAGGCTTTTGAAGCGTCATCTATGGATAGTAACATTTACGTTGTTTGTTGCTGCTGCACGGGCGTGCACAATTTTAACCACTTGCCCTCTTGAGGATTTACCCCCCTTCCTGACCAGGCCATTTTTTGCGTTCCGGCACTGCGTTACTTTAATTGACAATTGTGCGGTCATGCTACGCTACACCAAAATGAAATTTATGTCCTTTTTTTCCCACGAATTGAGCTTTCTTTCAGTGGTATTTGATCATCTGTGCGTTTTTTATTTTTTGCGCTATAAAAAAAAGACTGACAATTTTGAGAAAAAACAATAATTTTGTTTTTTTGCTATTAAACATGTCCAGTAAAAAAATTAAAAAAAATCTAATTTCATCTTAAATTTAGGCCAAAATGTATTCTGCTACATGTCTTTGCTAAAAAAAAAAATCCCAATACGTGTAAATTAATTGGTTTACTTGAAAGTTATAGCGTTTACAAATGGCTGTATATATATACTAGGATTTTTTTTTTTTTCATTTTTACTAGTAATGACGGCGATCAGCGACTTATAGCGGGACTGTGGGACCCCAATACAGTGACATCTCCAGTGACACCAATACAGTGATCAGTGCTAAAAAAAAGCACTGATACTGTACTAATGGCACTGGGCATTAAGGGGTTAACATGAGCGGTGATCAAAGGCTTAACTGTGTGCTGTTTTACTAAGTGCTGTGTTTGTGTACTTCGCTGTAAGCACACTGCTTTGAATGGCTGTGCTCTGCACATATAATATAATGTTTGGGGGTTCTGAAAAATTTTCTTGCAGTTTAAGTTGCCATAAAGCCCCTTTCATTTTTTAAATCCCCAGAGATTCCTAAAAGTATCTCTGATTAATAAAAAACATCAACCCTTCATATTTTCCATCCTGGAAAAAAATTGTTTTAGTTTTTTAAAACATTTCCACACCCCTGAGGGAGTTGACCAGTCTTTTTCAGTAGGATAATAAGGGGGGGTCTCACTTCTTCCAACTTAGGCAGGCCATAGATTACGCAATTTTTTTTCCTGCAACCAAAGAAAATCGCTTGATTCCCTCATCAACACTGACTGCATGGGGAATCCCTTGAACGGAGCTATTGTGTTCTCCCGGCAGTGGCGCTGGGATCCGTGCCTGCCCGGATAACACAGTGATTATTGCTAGCGGCTCTTTTGCCTGTGCCTGGTGCAGAGCCTAGGAATATGTCTGAAGTTGCCTGCTTGTCCAGAGAGATCATGCTGCTGGAGTTCCTGAGGTCAAGGAGCTTTGCAGTGGAAAAGTGACTGAAAGAAGAAAGTGATGTCTGGAAATGAAGTACTAGAGCTGACTCTGCCATTTAGGAGGATCATGGAGGTTGCTTCAAAAGAGATTCCTGAAGGGTCAGAATGCTGATGACAGCTTAAAGGGTCTATGTCTGTACTGACATTGCAATTGATTGCAGTCTGTGTATGGAACTGTGCTCAGGGTATCTGTAGCCCTGTACTCACTTGCCCACATTTTTTGACCAATTACCACTGAAATCTTTACTTCTCAAAGTGATTGGCATGCAATGTGTTATGCCCTTCATTCTTAGCCTTGGGGTCCCTCACATGCCCCCTGGTGCTACTTTCGAATAGTAGTTTTCTACAACTAACTCTGAGATTAGTTAGGGGTTGATTGCTGGGGGACAAAGGGTAGAAGGAATGTCTGGAGTTCACCTTGAATGAATTTAACCCCTTATTCCAAAATAGTATGACCTAAGAAAACCCTCCAAAATCAAACTAATCCTTATGGCATTTGTATAGTTATTTGATGTAGATAGAACCGTATATCAGCTTTTATTACATTTCATATTTACAGCCCAGAAAGATTACTTTATAAAAACTGGAGGAAACAAGGTGTCTGTGTTCCTGGCAGATAACTGTCATTTGTTAGTGCTGATTAGAAAATGAAAAAGATTATTTTACTCTGTTCTATCGTATACTGCTGTGGGCAACACAGACACTTCCCTTAAATTCATATGAATGAGTCCTGTAAATAAGGGAAAATATTTATTATGCAGAAACGCTAGACTTGTTGCAGTATAGGAAATCTATTATGATAATTGTATTACTTGTGCTCTGTTTAATTCTCTTTTTCATTTCAAGGCAATTACTAACCACTTTTTTTATGTTTTAAGGAGCTGAACTGAAAAAAAAAAAAAAAGAAAGGAATTTTAATTTACATAT